TTGTAAGTATTTACGTATCTATGTAAGTATGTGGATACTCAAACATAAATTTGTACAACATTGTGCGACAGTCAATTTTACACACACACAAAAAAATCAATATACACGCAAAACTAGGAGTCAAATATAGTAAACCTGCGTTTTTAAGGATATGATTAATTGAAAAAAAAATATATATAAAAAATCATTACAATGTAGAAAACCAATGTGGCCATCAAATAATTGAGGCTTGAAAATAATTAAATCTTTTGATGCACAAGGCCGAATAAGTATTGAAAGTATCATTTTAGAATTTTATACTTAAATATACTTAATTTTTTTTTTAAATATATGCTAGTTTAGGATAAAAAATTAATTTAAAGGACATTTTCAATACTTTTTCGTCCAGTGTAACAAAAAATTAAAATTCCTCTTTTCTTTGATACCCATATCGCTATTTTGCATCGCACTGAATTTATAAAATAATTTTTTTGAATAAATTACTTCCTGCACTTATGTATGTAAGAACAAGTAAGAAAGTCTAAGTTCGGGCGGAGCCGAACATTAAATACCCGGCGCAAGTGTTAAATATATGTTTTCCACCTTTCCGAAAGCTACCGCTACATGATAAGCCGGGGTGTATACATTTTAAGTAAATTAGCGTCCTTAAATTTCGAAATATTGCAGTTTCAAGCATATCTGAAATTTACCGTTATATGAAAAGCGGCCTCAATTTTAGTCCGATTTCAACAATTTTCAACGGTTTGCTTTTATGTGGCAAGCACAATAACCATACCGAGCTTGGTACAAATTGCTAGAACGGTTAGCGAGATACATATATGTGATCACAAGTGGGCGGTGCTACGCCCATTTTCCAAAATTTTGTCATAAACGTATTTCTTGGTAAAGAATTGTTGCAATCATCAATTTTGAATAAATTAGCTTCAATATTTACTGATTTATCGAAGATTTTGTATTTCTCGAAATTACCGTTATATGGGATGTGGGCGTGGTTATTGTCCGATTTTAGAAATTTTCGGCCAGTTGGTATGCTGTACCAGGACCAACAACTGTGCCAAGTTTGGAAGAAATTGGTGTAGCGGTTACCAAGATATACACATGTAACCATAAGTGGGCGTGGCTACGCCCATTTGCCAAAATTTTGTAATATTCTTATTTTTCGTCTAAAACTCATTGCAAATATCAATTTTGAGTGAATTATCTTCAGTAGTTACTAAAATATCGCAGTTTTCGTATTTCTTAAAATTACCGTTATATGGGAGGTAGGCGTGGTTATTGTCCGATTTTGCCCATTTTCAATACCATCCGTCCTACGCCCAAAAGAAGTACACGTACCAAGTTACGTTAAGATATCTTAATTTTTACTCGAGTTATCGTGTGCACAGACGGACCGACAGACAGACAGTCACCGCTTAATCGATTTCTCTTTTCATTCTGATCATTTATGTATACATTTGTCTATATCTATCTCGATTCGTTTTGCCTGTTACAAACAACCGTTATGTGAACAAAGTTATAATACCCTTGTGCACAAGTGCGCTCGGGTATAAAAAAATCTTGGCTTTCTCTCTGACTTACTATATTTGGCACTTAGTTTCGTGTGTATATTGATTTTTGCGTTCTTTTTTAAATACATTTTTTGGTTTGTGTCGCACAGTGCAATATGTGTTAGGGTGGTCCTTTAAATATTAACATCTGAATTTTGTACGGTACAAATAAAAACATCCACGAAAATTAGAAAAGTTACAAAAAAATTTTAAAAAGTCGCTACCAGGATTTGTAAAAATCGAAATCTTAAAAAAGAAGTTGCGAAAATGCGACAAATTTTCGACTTGAAATCTCATAAATTTGAGATATTATTGAAACTTATTCATATAAATTCATAAACCACCAAAATATTAGTTGATCAAAGTCAAATTTTGTAAAAATTTTGCGATAAAAAAAATCAAATTTCACAAGACCCAAAATTTTGTATTTATATATTTAATTTTTTCATGAATGTCTTTATTTTGTACGTGATGTTGATACTTTAAGGACCACCCTAATTTGTATGTATGTATGTATAATTTTTCGGATTAGTATTTTTTTCAAATTTTGAATTGTTTTCCTTAATTAATTTTGTACACTAAGATTTTTATTAATTAATTTTATCTATATATATTTGAATACTTAGTAAAATTAGCACAAGTATGTATAATATTATAAGTACCTACGTACGTACGCATGCATGCATGTTTTGTAAATATGATTGTTTTAGAGTACATTGTTGCAAGTTTCCTGTAAAATTCGTAAATACAACACGCTAAGTTCTAGTTTGAGTTTGATTTTAGATTTTATCTTAAAAATATAAGGATATAGATTTTTTTTTTCAGTTTTTTTCTAGCTCATACTCATACGAGTGCAGTCACTCAATTACATACATACAAATGCTTCACAAAATATACATATATTCTTTATCTCCCTCTCTCTTCTATGTCTGTTATTACACGCTATCTAAGTACATACATACGTATGTAGCTCTTTGCACTTTCGTTTCATTACTTTAAGCATTTCGAATACCCTGAAACATGTTACTAAATATCGTTTACATTACATCTGTACAAGCGTACATTTATACGCCCTCTTCACTTCAGTTTTCCCTAACTAATTTTACTGATATGATTGGTGCTAAATACAGGAAAAAATCAGGTACACCCTGGTTTTACTGCGTAAGCACTTTAAGATCAAGCAGTTTTTCAAAACATTTGTAATCATCTAAAAATATTGAAATACTTATAATCAATTGTTTTGTCAACAAAAAAAAACAAAAAAAACATTTTAAGCAAATTAAACGAGTCCTTAAAAGTAGTCAAACTGTTTTCTTTCGAACTATCGTAGAGCAGACACTACAGTTTGAGGGATCGAAGATTGATTTCATGTAATTAAACAAAAAAAAAGTGATGAATTCACATAATTAATTTAAATACTTACAAGGGTTTGGGTATGGATTCATATTCACATTCAACCGCGTAGTTGATTATAGGAATTCTTGGAGGGAGAGTTTGTTTAGGTGTCTTTTGCGGGGAGCTTTCCTTCAAAACTTTCAAGGCTTTCGGAATGCTGCGGCGTCTTTCAGGTGAAAATATGTATGTAATTGGGTTCAGAGCCACAGCGACATTGCGGTAAACTGCGAGACGAAGAAAATGCCCTTCTGATATATTATCGCCGGATAAAGAGCTGTTGGGGATATCTGTATTCTCCTGTGGTTCACTCTTGAACAATTGGGTGTCATGTAAGCTCAGCGAGCCCTCGATAGAAACAGGGCAGGGACTATCCTTCTGACTTAGCGTGCATCGAGGAAGAACAGAAGACTTCCTTACGCTTGCAAAGCCTAAGCTCTCGCTGCTGGTGGAGGTTCTGACAAGCCGCTGTGTGTTTGATATTCACGTGGTGAGAATAGGAATCTTAAAGCTTAAAAAGATGACACCGTTGATCCGGATTAACTCGGTCTAAATCCGGATCAACTGTAGTTAATTCCCGAGTTGATCCGGATCAACGCTGCCGTCTGTTTATGTTTTTACTTGATCGCTTCTATAGCAGCCGCCTAGAGGATGATCCGGTGGAAGCATTCTATTAGACTGCGCAGCTTTCCCGAGGATAAGGTGGACAAATTATGGCTCGGATTTCCTGACTAATCCTCAGGAGCTCCTTGCAGTAAAATTAGTCGCATTCGTAATAACCTTCATTTCGGTGTTCTCAAGAAGATCCCAGAGTTGGAAAGAAGCGGACTTATTCCATGACCGAGGCGACTGACTTTGGCAGAAAATTCCTAGTAAAAATTCGTTAAACCAGACAATCGACCTCCTCGCCCTTGATTTCAGACAAGTACGTACGTACGTATGTATGTAATTTGGTACCAAATGGTTTAAGGATGGAAGTCCGATCGGATACTTATGGACCTAGCACAAAACTCGCAATTCCAATAGGCAGATGCTACACGGTGCTCTTGGCTGAAGTACTAGCAATCTTAGCCGACTGGGTTAGGTATAACGTCACTGTGACACCGAAGACGAGGTAACCGGCTATCTGGTACGGAAAGAACCCTCAACTATCTTTGTAGTATTAGAACAACTTAGAAGGCAATTTGTACTGGTTGGTTGGTTGACGTGCATAATGATCACGGAAGCTTTACCATCAATGCCGACTAAACCCCAAAACACCTTGCTTCACTTTCTATCTTAAGATTTATATAGTAAACTACAGGAAAGTTGTAGCGCTGAGAGTGACACGCGGCTCGGAAACTATAGAATTTTCGAAGATCTTCCCGATGACTTCTGGTACCTGTTCTACACAGACCGACTACTGCACTAAGGAATAACTTCCAAACAAGAATTCAATTAAGGCGTAAATGGGAGGAGCATACAGTTCTGATCTCGTATTCTTATTCAACAGCCATCTACTCTAACGGCTTAAGTTAGATCTGAAGGTGGGAAGTGGGGTATACTCGCAAGAACTCTCAATTAGCCTCAGTTTTCATTTGCCTGATATCTGTAACGTTTTTCAAGCTGAACCAACAGCGATCAACAAAGCTGTAAGATGTCTGATCGATACTTCTATTGATTTTTATGCAGAGATATATTTTCTGATAATCAGACATGGAGACATTCGAAAGCGTCCAGCCACTGTCCCGCTTAGGCGAGTACTCCTCGATGATCGTTTCTTCACTACACTTTGAATGTTTGGATGAACCAGATTCTACAATTTAGTACGCGACATCAGAGCTACAAATTGGTTATACTTCTAAATAAAAAGAAGACGAACGTGCTGGATGATAACAGCCAAGACAACCTAACCTAACGTAGTAGTGAGGAGAGTTAGTGGGGGGCATTACACAAGTCAGGCTCTGGGGATATACTTTTCATAGGTTATTATATTCACTAATATGGTGACAACAGCGTCAGAGAGTTGGCTCTGCGTTGAAGACAAAAAAAAATTAGAGCACATTCTCTCTGTGACGAGGTAACTTGAGCATTCGGGGATATTACCGGTGGACAATAGAAGTGAAGCATTTTTTGTAGAAAAGAAAGCGGTATAAATAACCAACAAGCCCTGCATATTAATTTGATGTTAAGTGAAAATTTGATTGCCAATATTTGTAACTTTTTGAAAAATATACGCCTAAATTTCTACCTCCAAAAATGTTTAACTCTATCGTTCGTGCGTTGCACACCGTCTTTTCCAGCTTAGGCACCCAACAAACGCTTGACCGAGTATCCAGGCACCGAATAGACGAATAGTATGAAGAACAAGCATATGCCGCAAATCAGTAAAGCCTTGAGAATAGCCCATTTGTAATTGTGCCACACGATGTAGCGTATCGACTTGAGCGGATTTAGGAACCACATGAATGAGGCATCTGGGCGGCTGTAAGCAAGCAAAGAAAACAGACAAAGAGTTAAGAAAAAGGAAGAATTCAATAAATGTAAAGTAAAATAATACGCACTTTGGTTTCTCCAACGGATCCGGTTCACTGCGTCCATATCCTGCAGGGTTCTGTTCGGCTTCTTCCTTTGTCAGCAAATGGAACTCGGCTTCCACCTTGCCGGTTAACTCCATCTCCTCATTCTGCTTCTTCACATAAAATGGCCACCAACCACGCACGCGCTTCTGCTTGAATATATTCACAGTGGGCGCATTGGTGTCTGACTTGAGCATATCTAGAGTGCAAAGCTTAGAGCTTTTGGCGCCACGTGGAAAACGATTCAAGTTGAAGGATATGGCACCTGTCGGGAAATTATAATGAGCATGTTTAAAAGGCTTAAAAATATAACGCATTTATGCACATTAGGGTGTCTCATAAAAAAAAAGATTCATTATATTTAAGGCCCCTATTGCGAGTGTCGACTGGCAGTAGAATAGAAATTTGTCGATCGAGTCGATCATCTTTTATTTTGCTATTGTGTAACTTGATCGATAAAAATTTGTACTATTGTGAATGGTTGACGGAATTGTAAACAGCTGTTTGTTTGTTTACATTTGTTTCTTTAATGTTTCATTTACATCATTTTTAAAATAATTGCTTTTATTATAAAATTAAAAAAAATGGACACAGTTGAAATATGGTTTAGTGATGAGGAAGATGATGTGGAAGCTAATAGATTAGTAGAGTTGGCTAAAGCAAGGAGGGAATTGCGAGATTCGTCGGATCCCTTGGAGTTGGAAGATGAAGTGTATATACATATGTGAATTTTATGAATAGAAGTTGCGTTCCCGATGCTTCAAGGTTTTTAGGTTTTACAGGATTTGCAGGAAAAGCTGTTTTCCTCATTAATAAATTTTATGGAAGTTTAAGAAATACGGTACCGTTTAGTTATTTGTACAATGATGTTGAGTATTTGTGTCCAAACGCGTGACCCGAGTTTTAAAACTTTAACATACAAGTGTAGTGAAAGAATTAAACTTTAATTTAACATAAAGATTTCAAGTTTCCGAGCACTAGTTAATTAATAAATTATGCAGTTTTTTGTAAACTTTGATGTTGGTTCTGCGCAAAAACACTGTGGATGGCGTAGCCGGAATTATATGCACAAGAAATATTGTATATCTTTCACAAAAGAAGCGGAGCTTCCTCTCCTGCTTTTTACGGAAATTCCTTTGCCTATGTCCTCACTCTCCTGCATGAGCTCGACCAACCGCGCTAGTTGCCTTTTGTTGCTTACAATTTTTGATCTGTAATTCAGAGACATTTCTGCCATGAAAAAACAGCTTCTCATAAAAATACAATCGCCGTTCGGAGTCGGCGTAAAACTGTAGGTCCCTCCGCTTTGTGTGACAACATCAAGGCGCACACCACAAGTCGGAGGAGAAGCTCGGCCAAACACTAACATATGTGTAAGCGCCAATCTATTATTATTATTATTATTATTATTAATTCAGACACATATATACATACATATGTATATTTCACAATTTTTTACAACTTCCAATTCAATTGACTTACTTTTTATCCATTATAGTACCACTTTCTTATGTAAATTTTATAAACGCAAACTCCAACGACTAAAAAACAGCAATAGAAGGATGAGCGATTAAAAAGTATTCACAGTCGCTAATTGAGCGACTAAGCGACACTCACGATACCATCGATAATCGATAATCGCTTAATAGTCGTTTATCTACTGCCAGTCGACACTCACACCCCTAGTGTAAGACTTTCGCAGTAATATTTCGAAAAAATATTGTGATTTACATGAGCTGGACCGATTTGAAAATAGTAACAAAAATTGTTTTATCTATTATGATTCCGTTGATACAATTTTCAAACATTTTTATGCCTAAAAGGTCTAGGCTTAAGCTCTTTTGTTAACGGACCTGATTTTTTGGAAAAAAAAACAATTTTTATTTATAATAAAATCGATCTAGCTTAAATAAATCCTATTATTTTTCCGAAATATTCTGGCTGAAGTCTTAAAATGTAAAAAAATTTTATAAGTCTGATGGAAAAACAATACCGATTTTTTTTTTATGGAGAGTGATGCACCCTAATACACAAATATATGTTAAACGCACCAAGAAAATCATCTGCTGAGAAGTGATCCGCATCCCATACTTGCAGTTCCAAGCGTGCTGGTATTTTCACCTCTGTCTCGTCCCAACTGAATAGCGATTCGCGACGCGAAAGCACAATGCGTTCCTCGGCCGCCAGATATTCGAAGGGAAAGATAAAACGCCAGTTGAAGTTGCCTTCGCCGGTGAGTGAACGATAATGTATATCCGTAGATTGCATATCTTGCGGACCCGTCAGCCAACTGAAGATGAGAAGAGAGAGAAAAAAAAAAACAGTTAAATGGTCACGAAAATGAATCTTACGTTGCGTACTTACCCTTTTACATAAATGTCGGACATCTTTTCGCCCGTAAAGAATGCGTCATCTTCCAGCACCACATCGTCCGTATTCCATATAACCACGCGCAACTCATATTCTTTGGGTTTTCGCGGCGATATATCTACTGGTGGACCTGGCAGCGGCATATCCATGGGAAACATATCCACCCACATTTCGATTTTTCCCTGTTCAATGCCGGGCTTTTCGGGATTGTATAAAGGACGTGATTCGATATGTTCAGGAACAATCTGTTAGGTATAGTAGTTTCGAAGCTGTTTATCATTTTTTTTTTAAATAACTAATATTCGCCCTCTCTCACCTTGCACCCCACTCTGGGTATCTCACTCCATCTATGCAGCACAGCCAGCGCCAGATGCTCGTCACGATTTCTACAAGTAGTTGGTCCATTCCATGCTATTACCTCTTCGTCGGAGAAGGTCATACAATACTTGCCGATCGCCACACGATCTTGAAAATAATGCGGCGTATCCAGTTTGTTTTCTTTGCACAGCTTCGAGAGAATCTGTGTGGGTTTCATAGGGTCGCGCCACTGATTATAGCCGCAGCTGTGGAAAAAATACAATTAAAATTTGCTGCGTATTTTTCACCTCTCTGGCACTTACACTTCATATCTCAGCGCTAGCCCGCAGGTTGCACGATGTTTGCTATAGTAGCGATTTTCCAAATCGATTCTTGTCTCGCCTATCAGATCGTCCGAGCCCACCAAATCCCAATCAAATATTTGCACGGTCAGCATTGAATCCTGTGGAAATGTTGCTTCCACTTCGAAGCACTTACCAAATATCGGATTCAGTTGCTTGCTGACGTAGTTCTCCTTATCAGATAATCGCTTATTGCCTAACTGCAGCACAACATATGGATCCGCTTTGCCATTCAGATCCATGGGATGCAGATCTGTGCCCTTGATTATATAGATACGCACAAGCACGTGAAGTGGATCATTGGCGGGTAAGTTGGGTATAGGCAGCTCGGTGCCCTTTGGCGGTGGTAGTTTGTAGACTTTGATGGCGCCTTTAAAGAAGCCAACGGTGCGATTATCATCCTCGGCGGAGTCGCCGGTCTTCTTGCCGCGATAGAGCGCAAATGAGTGTAGCCACTCACGGAAATAGTTATATTCTGTTTTCGCCTCCAGTTCGTTGGGGTAGATCTGCGTACGTTAAGCGAGGGGTAGTGTTTAACTCTTCTGATCTTAACTTCTTAATTCAATTACCTGGCACACAGCTGTTGAGTTCATATTTGTCCTATTAGTTTGCTGATTGGGTGATACTTTTTCGCTGCCCGGTTCGTGCTTGCCGCGCGCTATGCCAGTCATACTTTTTGGACTCAACTTTTGCACCAACTTTGAACTTTTCATACCAAATTTATGTACATTGTTGGGTGTGGCATTAACCGGCGGAGTTAGAAATTTATCAGAGATGTGTGTTTTCTCCGTTTTAGTTAGATCGATGAGTCTTTCATAAGACCAAAAATATTTTGTCCACCAATCGCGACTAAGCTCATCGTCCTGGTCCTGTTCCTGAATAATTTCATTCGCGTTGCTCACCTGCGAAGATTTCTTTTTCGATGCTTGCTTCTTGGCCCTGGAAAATGATTTATGAAACAATAATAAAAGAACGTACACCCAAAATTTTAAGTGAAATTATTTTCTTACAGCTTCGTAACGCAGGCCGCGCCATAGAGCGTAAACTGATCACAGGATGAACGTCGATTGCCGTAGAAGTCCTTCATATTCGCTTGCTGTGCATTAGCGGCAATCATTGCTTGCATATTGAAGCCATCGACCAGATTGTTCAATCCCTCCTCGTTCAAGGGCGCCGACAAAATAATCTGACCACCCATGGTTTTGTATTTGGTGATGTCTTCTTTCGGTGGGGCTTTGTATATGTACCGGTGTATAGAAGTGATTTGATGTGTACCCACCAGAGTATATCGGCCGAACGAGCGACAATCTACGCAACGTATGGTAATTGGTGGCGCATAGGTTTCCTCAAGCGGCAACTCCAATTCTATGGATTTTAACATGCTGGGGAAATTCGGATTCTTTTTTGCGTTCTGTATAATATTCGAGCTGAGTATTTTGCCCGAACATTCAACATCGATGCGTGGCTTGTCGACTGACATTAGATGAACACGCTTTAGATCGCGCAGGCCCCAAAAGAGTACTTCTAATTTGAATTTCGCTAAGTGTGGACGTACTTCTTTCGGCACCGGAAAGATGGTGCCCGGTGGTGGAGACGCATTTTTGTCTTTGATCTTCTCTTGTTGGCTGGCGGAAAGTGGTTTGGGTTCGGTGAGGCGTGGCATATCGGTGGAACCGATTTCGAGCATTTCAAAAGCGGCCAACAATTCGCCAGCGTTTTCGTGCCCACGTACAATATCAAACCATTCCAGTGTGGGTGTTGTATACACATTCTCACGTAGCTTTACGCGCGGCTTTGCAATAGCGCGGCCAATAAACTCCGACTTACCAACTTTGTCTTGATCATAAATCTCAATGATTATGGTAGGTGGGTCTTTCTTGATCTCGTCTTTGGTGCCAAATACTAAAATTTCATCAAAAACCAACAACTCATCCCAGGTGGGACTCAATGTTTCTTCGATTACTTGTGTGGTCTTAGCGAATTCGGTTATGTAGACAGTGGCGTAGGGGTCACTGAGACCGGACGCGTCGGAGCCAATTAGAGAGCGCGCTTGATAGATGTGTGCGCGCAACTGAAAGGTCTGTGAAATGAAAAGAGTGAGTGAATACTTAAGCGAATTACCACCAGCTCAATAAGCATACAGATTTCTCGAGATAATGGATGTTATTTGGCGCCATAGCGCCAGGCCTTTCCGCATTACGCAGCTCGTGTGATAGATCATAACCGATAGGCAGACCCTCGAAGAAGTGTCCCTTATGACCTACAACGCCCAACCATAGGTAAATAGATAGCTTGGCTTGTATAAACCAGCTGGCTGGACCAATTGACTGTTTGCCAGGCAATCTCAAGAATATGGTTTGTATTTTTGCACAATGTACACCACTTTCCTCCTCGATATTAGAGTAAATCAAATCGCGTGCGGACATGCGATGATACGCATAACGTTTGCCATTAGCGATTAGCCATAAAAATATATCCGGCAATGAGTGCTGAGGCTGGAGAATAAGAAATCATTTTTGTGTAAGTAGCAAAGTTTAAGCATATGGCCGGCCTAACTCACATCGTCGATGAGGAATTTCAGTTTTTGCTGGAACGTCTGTGCGGTTTTGAAGCGCTCTTTAAGTGAACTACGCGTTACCAATGCGCGTAGATTGCGCGCCAAGTTGCCAAGGGTTTCCTGTATTAATGAGACGATTATGCATGCAGGCTTTTTGTAAGACGTCTGCAGTCAATACTTACGATTTCACTTTGACATAGCTTTATGCGTTCCTTGTCCAACTTAGTCTTGCCGCTGCCCGGTCCAGTTATATTCGCTTTGGTTATACTTATATAGCGCGTGCAAGCTGACGCCAAGTCTTCAAGTGTGGTGCGCAGACGCACTTCTGCCTTAACATCTTCCTCCTCAATGAGCTTATGCGTTTTGGTCAAGCCCTCTTCCTGGAAAATGTAAGAGGCTTACTAATTTGCATACATCAAAGATAATTTTTTCGTAACCTTACCAAATTTTCCGACATTTTCGACAGCATATTGCTATTGTACATACGTCGCCGCAGATCGGGCAGTGTGCATCTCACATCCATGCATGGCTTATAGTCCCAGTAGGGCAGGTAATAGTGTGACTTATCGTGACTGATGGGCTTACAAGCATTCGTGACGCTGCTAAAAGAGGTGGTATCGACTGTCTCCAGCACACAGACGTCTTCACCATCATCGGTGGCTGTAGAGAAGCTTTCATTATGACCGTCCAGCGAGTTGCCCGCATTACCCATGCTGAGCTCAAAGAACACCGTTTTATCGCTTACTTTCTTATCCAACATGGAGGCCTCAATGATAGAACCAAAAAGAAAGAATTCCTCATTGCGTGAGTACGAGGATTCTGTAATCGGATATGCCGGCTCGAGTTCGACATTCTTCTCGGTGGTGATTTCGATGTTGTCGGTAATTTCAGTGCGTATGGCGAGTAGTAGACGTGCGCGATAGCTGACTCCTTCGCCTAAGCCGGTATTTAGGTTGGAGTGTTGATCGAGTAACGTATAATCGCGTGTAGAACCATAAAGATGTATGAAGGAGGGGCCGAAAGTGGGAAGGAATCCTCTATCACCATCATTGGATACTTGCTTGAGATCAATGTAATGTGTGCCAATAATGGCCGGTTTCATGGGATCAGCGTCGCGTAGTTGAATCTATATGTGGGAGGAGGAGTAATATACGAAACTTATGAAACTACTTTGTGTTCTTAATCGTGTCTCATAACTAACCTTTATGCGCTGACATAGCGGCGGAAACATTTCAGTAAACACCAGCTGTTCATTCCAAACTGGTGCGTAAGCATTCTTCTTGACTGTGGTCTTGCCCTTTGTGTAAGAGAAAAGGCTAATTAGTGCTATGTTAAAGCCCTCCGCGGCGGTTTCTTACCATTAATCCTGCGAATGAAACCTGCACATAAGGGCTGACCAAATCTTTGGACTCGCCAGTGAAGGCCTTCTTCACATTAGCCATAAGCGAGGAATTCATGCGCGGCAAGCCATCGGCACGGTAGATTTTCACAATGAATTTGGCACGTTGGCGTTCGATGGGTACGCCCACTGGTAGCAGTAGATTTCTGGTTTCGAAAGTATATAATGAATAGTGCTTATTACAATAATCAAGTTTTGTAAACTTCGCTTTAATTATTAATTTTTAGAAGTACGAAAGCATTCATCACTTACGCTTCGATGTCGTCAGGATCTTTTTCAGATTTTTGAGGCACCTTCACGGTATCACCTTTGCCAATTATTCCAATATCACATTTTAGATAACCTTTTGGACCACTATAGAAATCATCTGGATCGGAGAGTAACGCCCATTTATGGTAGAATTGGTGATCTACAAAAGTGTTTACGAAAGAAGAGTTCATAAAATACTACCGTTAAAATTCGTACATAATTTTATTGAATTTAAAGCATAATAAGGGTACCCATCTATTCGCGCAACTTTCATATTTGGGCAATTGGGCAACTTTGCGCAGTGTATTTCATGAGGACAATTTTATATTCTGTGCAATTTCAGACATTTAATTATTTGACAATGCTCAATTTATAAATTTGAAAAATTGAAACTCGAATTTAAGAAAATATTTAAGTCTTACGAAAAAGCGTTGAGCACAAATCAAAATGAAATTAAACAAAATAGTTGATTGAGGGTTGCACATCACACTGCGCAAATTTGCGCGACAAACTTTCCACGCAAACTTGCCCTTTTTGTGCAAATAGCTTTCCATACAAATTTTGACATTTCATTTGCGAGGGTTTTAAATTGCACAGTTTGCCCAGTTTGCGAGAGTTTTGCGCTTTTAAATGAGTACCCTTAATGAACTATACAAAATTTAAAATATTTAGTAAATCATGCAAACATTCAGAAAAAAGTTATGTGCGGAAAAATTGAATGATTGAACATCTATATAGTACATAGGTACGAGTTATAAACACGAAAATGTATGATGACCAATCGATTTTGAACACTTTCTATGGATTTTTGTGAAAATTTAATTTTCTGCGGCTTGAAAATTTGACTCCACTAAGTTTTTGCTAAGCGTGCCTTTTCAAAGTCAGCTTGGTGTTGGAAAATGTTTTTTCTGTTTAAAATATCGACTTGGCATGAAATTTCGCATTGTTAATGACATATTTAAATATATCGTTTTCGAACATCAAGTACAACACCAAACTCGATTCGTGCTGTTTTGTGAACAGAGACAAAATTCAAAGAAAAAGCACCCTGAACCCAAAGCTAACATTGTAAACTTTCACTAAAGCTTTTAAAAATGAGAACCGATTGGGTTGAATGATGTTCCAATATTAAGGCTTAAAAAACTTTAAAAGGGAATTTAGATTTTATTAAAATATTTACTTCTGAGTTCAACGCATATATTTTTTTCCAACTTCAGCTTGGATGACCAAACTGTGGTTGCTATGCCAGAGGATGACGAGCATCGTTTTCTCATCTCCGGTTATATGTACCATTTCAATGAGAATGACCCAGCAAACTAGCACTGACATTGAAAGAAGAAGTCCAGAGTAGAGACCTTGCATCATCCTCAATGGCACAGTGATGTCATAATATGTAAATATTTAATAGACTTGAGTCTCTCTTTAACAATAGTATGTAAAATGGTAACTAAAAGTTTGTTTGCATTACCACTTTGTAATAAAATTTACAGGAATTCCAGGAAAGTAAACTGGAATCTTTATCGAAATCTTTTGAGAAACTATACAAAAATCCATTAAATCTCTTGCAGTTCGGACGATGAAAAAGCAACAGAAATCTTGACTTCCAAGACGCTATTGGCTAGCCATGAATTCTTTATACACTTCGGGCCAGAATGAAGATCTAATTATGTAAGATGGAAGAAGGAAACTGTAAGGAAAGCATAGAAGGTTGGATGGAGTACACATTTTCACTAAATTTATATAAGAAAGGAATTATAAGAGCAAAAAGAGAATCCTGGCAGGCCTTCTGTGGAAACAGTGAGAACGATTTTCAAGCGCCAAGACTGTGGACGACTCTTGCTAAGTTTCCTACGATACCATCACTGATAAAGAAAGAAAATTATGAATTGACCAAAGGCAGCAAGAAAACGCTGAAAGTTGTGATATGAGTCCGTCCACTGTCTTGGCTTCACTGAATCGAGGGGAAAATCCGATTACGGCATAGTCTATGCATAACGAGGATGTTGAATACATTACTGCAGTAACTATACTGAAGGGAACTTTGAGATCGTCCCACCCATCTAAGTCCACAAGGCATATTATCCGCGCTTAAGCAAAAAAGAGATACTACGTAGACCCAGAGGCGTATTGACATATTTAAGTACTTTCAGAGGTTTAGTCAAATTCCATTTAATTTGGAATAGTAACAAGAATTACATTCATGCCGAAACAAACTAAAGGCAGTCAAAAATTACCGGGATTCTATAAACAGCCACGCTAAATTCTTATTCCTAAAAATCTCTTAAGGAATAAGGCCTGTGCTTAAAAATATACGACGCTTCCAGCTAAACGTAACATATCCATAGTGCCTACGATTTTATATTGAACCTCTTCGGTGAAAGCCGTTTTTAGGCTCTCGTTTAGAGAGTTTTAGTGGTAGAAATTTTGCGTAGCGATTTCTAGAATTCCACTGCTGGAGTCAATCACAGTTAATCCTGCCATTATCACTTGACAGTGATGAATGAGTGGGGTTCAACGACGATGTTGAGTAGGGAGGCATTAGTCAGGATTGGTCTTATGTATATCTGTTTATGAGAGAAAGGTATCCTAGTTTTAGAGCGTATTGCTTATGATTTAGCTATTAACATATCTGTTAAATGTCTAAGGCCGGTAAGTGAAATACCCGCAAGGATATGGAAAGATTTTCACAATTGTATAGCAGCCAGAGGTCTAAACATCTTATTTACTAATTATTTTAAATTAGTGAAGGAACTGGAACAGCTTTGCTTTTTCTGGAGCTTGAGCTTGAATAGCCTTATAAGCTTCCAGGCTACACCAGCATTTCCCAAGCCGAGATCAATGCTATAACTAAAGCAGCTGAATCGGCACTGACACCAACTTCTCATAAATGATGTGCAAATATATGTAAATGATCAAGCTCTCTCTCATGTATGTAACACACTGACCATATGGCCATAGAATTCGAAAATTTAAAACTGCATACGAATTACGTTAGATATATAAATTTGTATTTGCTTTTTATTTTTTATTTTTCTCAACTTTGTAATTCAATTGGCGAAACGCGTTGACTTTATTAAAATTCGGAGGTTTTGTGAAAGAGTCAAAGAGGAAGTAAATATGTACTTGTATGTATGTAGGTGTATAGATAAGCATCAAGGATATTTGACTGTTGAAAACTTGTTAAAAGAAAAGTGGCAAGAAAATTGTAATATTGTAAGAGGTTAGCGCAGCAGGCGGCTATTAGAAGACAAAGAAATTCCCAAATATGCATAGTACTTAGTATAAATAATGTACAGTGAACGATATAAAAATGTGTACACTTAAAGTTGATGGAATAGAATAACAAACTGATGAATGGCTATTCAAAATTTAAAATATTTTAACTCCTTAATGCATATCTGCTTTAGGGTGCATCACTCTCCATACAACAAAAAAAATCTATCGGAAAGGTAAAATTTATTATATTTCTTAAAAAATTTGCCAAAATATTTCGTAAGCATAGTAATATTTTCCTATTTGAAAATACCTCCAAAAATCGAGTGTTTTAAAATAAAATTAGGTGTCAAAAATACTTTTTCTAAAAATTATAGACGAGTTTATGCTGAAAACGTCTGCAAAAATATGTGTAAAAATTTTATAAACGGAATCAAACTAATGAAATTTTTGGAGATATTTTCTAATAGGTCCAGCTCAAGTAAATCCTAATATTTTCCCGAAATATTTATGAGGAAAAACCGAAACTTTTTTGGTGATGCATCTTAATGTATGCGGCAGTGATATTTAAAGGAAACTACGGTACGATAATAAGTTTTCAAGAAAAACGACTTTGAAGTTAGCAAGCGTATTTCATTTGTACGTTTTTTTGTGAATGTGTCCATTGTTAAAGTGAATTTCGGAAAAGACGAATGCAGGTTTATTGCATTGAAAAGAGAGTGGCACCTGCTAAAAAATCGATATACAGGTAAAAGTCGACTTTTTTTTAACCCTTAGGCCTCTTTTAACTTTGCACGTCACATATTACAAATTGTATAGAAAATCAAGTGTCGAAAGAAAAGCAGATTTTTCATAACCAAAATAACACTTTTTTTCAAAGTTTTCTTTTTGATGCAGAAATATTCCTAGAGCATCTAGAGGCATTTCCGCATCAAAAAGAAAATTTTGAAAAAAATGTCGCTTACGTTATTTTGGCGGTTAGGGCTCAATATATATTTTGTGCTTCTGTTAATTGCCTTTAATTTTGAATCAAACATAAAATTTAATTTTCAGTTGTCTGTAAATAGTTTTTCGTTCGCTACTGTACTACAACTGAGTACGCATAAATGTTGTAAACCATAAAAGAGTTTTTGTTTGACTGCGGCAAAGACTTTCACCATTTGAGTTGCTGACGGTGAAAAAGTCGCAAGTTTAACATTACTGCAGGCGTTCACAAGCGTCAAAACAATCAGCATGATTTCCGCTCTGTGCACACATTCATACAAAGGTAATGCAAATACTACATAAGGGTGCGCACATCCATGGCACGACTGTATATGTATGTACGTTTGCATGCTTGCGCACATAATTCGAGTTTCGTTTGAATGCGTTCACTTTTTACGACAAAGGATGTGGTAAATGCCACAGGAAGGAAAACGCAGTATAAACCTGCCTACCCAGCAGGCATTTCAAGGATTCACTGAAAGGTAAGTAAACTCTCTTGCATAAATATGTATGTATGTGCATATGAACATTAAACAATTTTCCGAAAATGCGCGAAACATTTTATGCGACTTTAATATACATAGAAATATATTTGTCGGTCTGGGCCGAGGCAAAAAAGCTTCTCCAATTGCTTCTCTCCTGTGATAATTTTCGCCAGCTGCTCATCCCGTGTGCAGACAGGTCCTTCTACACTTGGTCTTTCGATTTTGTTTGTGGGCGCCCTTGCTTTCGTTGTCCATCCATGGGTGCGGTGTCCAAGAATCTTTTCCCAGGGGCATCGTCATCCATGCGTACAACATGTCAAAGCCAGCGCAATCGCTGCATTTTTATGCGCTTGACAATGTCCATGTCATTAAGACGCTCATACAGTTCGTCATCCCATCTTCTCCTATACCCGTCGTCCACGCGAACAGGGCCGTAGATCTTGCGTATAATAGTTCTCTCGATAGCACCCAAAGCCTT